ACTGTTCTAGATAAGGTTAGGAGTATGCTTGCCACCGCCGGTTTGTCTAAAAAGTTTTGGGGTGAAGCAGTTAACACTGTTGTCTACTTGATTAACCGGTCTCCTTCTGTTCCCTTGGGTGGGAAGTGCCCTGAATCTGTTTTTTCAAACAAACCCCTTGATTTGTCTAATCTTAGAGTGTTTGGGTGTGCAGCGTATGTGCACCAACAAGGTGACAAGTTGGATCCTAGGTCTAAGAAAGGAGTCTTCCTAGGTTATCCCGAGGGTGTGAAGGGGTATAGGGTTTGGGATAGGAACCAGGTAGGTTTCAAAGTTGTGGTGAGTAGAAACGTTGTTTTCAATGAATCCGAGTTTCCTTGTCTGGTTAAGTCAGTTCCTGATTCTGAGTCTGATCCTAGTAGTACACCCGTTGAGGTGGAGTCCATACCACGTGCTGCTAGCCCTTTGTTTGCTAATCATGATAATGTTGTTTTGCATGATTCTAATTCTTCTGAATTGCATGATTCTTATTCTTCTGAGCATGATACTACCACCACTTCGAGTGAGGTGGAGCATTCTCATGTGCATTCAAATGACAATGAATCGCATAATGAGAGTGCGGATGCTAGTGAGAATGATTTGCATGATTATCAACTTGCTAGAGATAGAAGTAGGAGAATAATTAGGAGAACTGCTGATAGTATGCCTGATTATGCTTTCCATATGAGTGATACTTCTATGTTTGCTTTCTCTGTGTTTGAGACCCTTGAGCTTAACGAACCTAGAACCTATAGAGAGGCCCTTAAGTCTAATGAGTCCGCTAAATGGCTTTGCGCCATGGAAAGTGAGATGGAGTCACTTAGAGCGAATAAGACTTGGACGTTAGTTCCTAGACCGCCCAATAGTTCCGTTGTTGCCTGTAAGTGGCTATTTAAGGTTAAGGAAGAGCCTAACGACATTAGATATAAGGCTAGGTTAGTAGCTAAGGGATTTACTCAAAAGGAAGGTGTTGATTATGCTGAAATCTTTGCTCCTGTAGTTAAATTTACTACGATTAGAATGATGCTTGCTCTTGTTGCTCATAATGATTGGGAAATGAAGCAAATGGACGTCACCACTGCTTTCTTGCATGGTGATTTAGATAAGAAAATCTATATGTTGCAGCCTGAGGGCTTTGTGGATCCCATGAAGAGTGATCATGTGTGTTTGCTTAGGAAGGCCTTGTACGGCCTGAAGCAGTCCCCGAGGCAGTGGAATATCAAATTTGACCAATGCATGTCATCTTTGAAATTTCACAAGTCCGAATGCGACCATTGCCTATACTTTAAAAATACTTCTTCTGTGCCTGTATTTTTATTGCTATATGTGGATGACATGTTGATTGTGAGTCCTTCGGGTGACGCCATCAAATGTGTGCAAAAGCGTCTCAGTGAGAACTTTGCTATGAAAGACCTAGGTGATGCCAAAAGGATCCTAGGCATTAACATTGTTAGGGATAGGAGTAAGCGTGTGTTAGTTCTCAATCAGATTTCATACATTGAAAAGATTTTGAGTAAATATAACATGCATTCAGCTATTCCCGTTTCTATCCCGATGGCGTCTCACTTTGTGTTAAGTAAGGATCAGTCTCCTAAGACTGCTCCTGAAATTGCTAAAATGAAATTTGTGCCTTATTCCAATGCTATTGGGTCCGTGATGTATCTCATGGTGAGTACTAGACCCGACATTGCCTATGCTGTTAGTTGCTTGAGTAGGTATATGTCTAATCCTGGTTTAGATCATTGGAATGCTCTTAAGTGGTTGCTTAGGTACTTGAAATCTTCTGTTAATCTTGGGTTGGTTTTCACTAGGTGTTCTGAGGGGGTTAAGTTGAGTGGGTATGTGGATTCGAATTTTGCTAACGATAGAGACAATAGGAAATCCATTACCTCTTATGTGTTTACTCTTTGTGGGTCGTGCATTAGTTGGAAGTCTCAACTTCAACCCATAGTAGCCCTTTCCACCACTGAGTCTGAGTATGTGGCCGCTACCGAAGCGTTTAAGGAAGCCATTTGGCTTAAACGTCTCCTAACGGAGATTGGTAGTCTTATGCAGTATATTTGTGTGTTTTCTGATAGTCAATCTGCTATTCAATTGTGTAAAAACCCTGTTTTTCATGATAGAACTAAGCACATTGATGTTAGATTTCATTTTATACGTGATATTGTGAGTGCAGGTCATATCAAGTTGATTAAAATTCCTTCGGAGTTTAATCCTGCTGACATGGGGACTAAATGTCTCTCGGTCGAAAAGTTGTTGTCGTGCAAACGCACGTTAAACATTGATTGCGGATAAGTTGCCTGGTGATCTTACCCCTTTTGCCTGAATATGTCTTTGTGATTATTCGGGCAATCCAGCGATGATGAGTCTCAAATTGTTTTAGAGCGTTGTGCTCTACACCACTAGGGTCCAATAAGGTGGAGAATGTGTTGGTATTGGCTCCCCTTTTATCCATAAGCCCAAACCCACTTGGAATACCCGGCCCATTACCTTTTGAAGTCAGCACCGCTTCAGTCTTTTCTCCTTCCTTATTCGGCTTGCTCGTTTCCTTCCTTGCTGCGCGATTCTGATGCGTATATCCGACTAAGGTAAGTTACCATCCAGAGATGATTGCTTTGCCTATTTATTATTCCTCGTTCTCTGTTGTTAGTTTGGCCGAAACCTAATTCCCAAATCAGAATCTCCTCCTCCTCTGTGGATGTCCGAGTATATTGGCCGGAGATAGGTCGTAGGTCGACGCCCAATCCTCTCCCTTTTGAGTCCTAGTGGTAGATTAATCATCCTTTGTGGGTGTGAATCCGTGAGACCTGAGCTGGATAGAGTTATAACAGTTTTTAAATGATATAAATTAATAATTGTAGAATACACCAAAAATAAGGATAGGGAATGTACATTTTAAGTGACCTAGGTCACCATAGTGTGGAGAAAGTGTGATAGGCTAGAGAGGATTAAGTTTTTGGTGGAAAATGATGTAGAAGAGAGAGGAGGGGATCAAAAGCCTATTCGATTCGAAGGAGGGGAAGCGAGGGAAGGAGAGACTCAAGGAGGTTGGGGGGAGTTTGATAAACATCTTTTTTTGGTATGAGGAAAGGGGGAATGTTTAATACGTAGTAGAATAAATTTCTCAATTTATCCTTGTTTTGCAAACCTAGATAAATATAGAGTTCGTTTGGTATCACTCAAATCGGTTCTATTGGCTGATTGTGTTGAAATTATGAAGTTATGGCCGAAGTGACTGCATTGATTGATTCTTCTGAACTATGAAAAAAATTAAAAAATATTTTTATTACTCTATAATAAAATAAAGAAAAAATTATATGAAAAACAGCTAAAATGATTCTCTACAATAATAACTTTTTCCAATAGAGTCAGAAACCTAACATTGTTACAACAATACTTTTTCTTATAATTACACAATTCAACACGTTAAATCAAAAGTTATGTGTTTGGTGAAAAAGTTGAATATAAATATTACTGCCTCCGTCCCACTAAGATTTGGACAAGGGAAGGTGACACGATTATTAAGAAAAGTGGGTTTGTGTGGTTGATATAGGGGTGGACTCGGGTCGACCGCCCGGCCCGGAACCGGACCGACCCGGTACTGTTTGGGCCCGACCCGGCCTGGTACCCGGTCTTGGGGACGGTTCGGGCCAACCGGAACTAGTCTAATCCCGGTGCGGGCTTGGTCCCCCCAAATGGCGAACCGGCCCAGTCGGTCCAGCCCCAATTCGGGCCAATTTTTTTTTTTGTTTCTTCATTTTTTTTTTACTTTCTACCGGGTTGGACTGGTTGTTTGGGGGAGGGGGGGGGGGGGGGGTCGGGGTTATTTAGAAAATCAAAAGAAATTAAAAAAATTGAACTGGAAACCGGCCCGGCCCGGGACCGCCGGCTACCCGGGCCGGTTCCGATTCCCTACTTCCTAAACAAAAGCCCAGCCCGAACTGGAACCGGTCTAGCCCGGGTCCACCCCTAGGTTGATATTAAATTGATAAAGTAAGAATAAAGTAAAAATGATTTAGAACCACACAAACTTTACCAAATTTGTTATGAGACAACCTTAGTGGGATTTCTTGAAAAGGTAAAATGAGAAAATCTTAACGGGACGGAGAGAATACTATGTAAGTTCAGTAAGGATGTTTTTACTTGGACTGTAATTTGCTGGTCTGGTCTGGTCTGGTCTGAACTGGTCTGGTCTGGTCTGGTAAGGTCTGGTTTCTTTGTATTTTTATAACTATCCAAGTCTGGTCTAGTCTGGTCTGGACTGGTCTGGTCTAGGACAAATTACAGTCCAAGTAAAAACATCCTAAGTCGGTTAAATAAATTATTTAAAAATACTGCACTTTATATATATATTAAGCACAATGTTTTTCAACTCCGCATAAAAACACTTACTGATCAAATTCTAACCTCCCTCCATCTCTTAAAAGTTTGTCAAAATTTGACCGGCACGAGGATTAATAAAGTAAAAATTGAGGTTGAGTTTTGTGCAGAGGAGAGAGAATTATATAGAACCACAAATTCAGAGAAAGTGACGAAGTTAATGGAACAAAAAAACTGAAAAGTGGAGAATTTTCTTCTACTTTCCTCCAACTTGTTTTTATTAGAAATTTTAATAAAAATTAAGGTTGTTTTGTTTCTAATGGGACTAACTTATTAATAAAAATGGGAGGCCCTCTTAGTAATGAGCCCGATTCAGTGGCAACTAGCAACAACTAAACATGGACCCGTCCAGGCCTGCATTTCGAACCATGTCCCTCAGTTTGAATTATTGTCCTTTTTTTATCATCAAATTATACATATTGGTTCCAAATTATAATCGAAATTATAAGTAATGATATTATGGTCCAACGGCGTTTGCAACGAATATGATAAAAATAATGCTCTTTTGTAATAGAACGAGATTTTGATGTATATAGTTAGTTTTTTTTTTTGTAATAGAAAAAAGAAAAAGGAGGAACTTAAAATAGATTTACAGCTACAGAGATCGAAAGAACATAATTCTTAATATATTAAATCAAAATAGCATTCGTCACATGATTGATAATATAATAAAAAAAGTAAACAAAATGTTAAAAAGCCTTATGTCCGCCGTCCGCTCTCGAACCAGACTGAGAATCCATCACCTCTGTAGAAGCAATAACATTCACGGATCCTGTAATGGGCTTAACTGAGTCAATGACTGGCAAACCAAACTTCTCATCACCTAACCTAAATTCAAGAATATCTCTACTAGGAAAAAGTAACACGTCCAAAACAAAATGCAATTCGACAGAAAAACACAAACTGAATCAAATGGAATTAAAATAGAGTTCATCCATCTTCTTCCAAATCCTAGATTTGCTTGCACTCCAAGGCGGTGGATCAGGAGGGGGACGCGCCCGGCGCTCATGCGCCACAACCTTAACATCAGCTTCATTTAGATCCAATTCTTCTTCCTCTGCCCCAATCGTCATCTTCTTGTACTTGTCCACGAAGCTATCCATGTAAAAATGTTGCTTTAACCTTCTGCCAGAAACTTCGAACCTGCTCCCACCTCCATAACCGGCGACGGGCGGAACTTCAAATCGAAAAAACCTAGCAGAAAACAAACGACGATCAACCTAGCATAAAACAAACGACGATCAACCGTGCTCATTACAACGCTCATTACAGCTACTGTAGACGCAAAATCAGCAACCGATGTCGCGACCAGAGAGGTCGCCACCGGACAATCCCCTGGGAAAAGCTCTAGGCGGCGGCGGAAAAGCCCTAGGAAGCTAGAGAGAGAATTACTAACCTAGACTTAGGCCTGTCAATGGGTCGGGTCTAGACCCGGACCTGACCCGAACCTGGTTATTTTTAATGGGTATGGGTCTATGTTTTATCTTTTCTCCTCTTTTTTTTTTCTTTTTCTTTTATATTTTTATCCTTATATATAAATAGGGAAAGTTCCCGAAATAGGACTAAATAAGTTTGAAAATTCCAAAATAGGACTGTCATGTTTTTATTCCCAAAATAGGAGTAATCACTGTCAAATTTGGAAAATACTGTCATCTTTAAAGCCTGATACTGCCAAAACATGGCAGTAATTAGTCCTATTTTGAGGAAAAAAACATGGCAGTCCTATTTTTGGAATATAGAAGTACTTTTAGTCCTATTTTGGGTAATTTCTCATATAAATATTACTTTATCCTTTTTATTTGATCTTTTATATGTATATTCATCTCTTTTATATTATCTTTTTTTTATAATAGCTTATCTTTTTTATCTTTATTTTCGTTCTTTTCCTTTTGGTGATATCATATATCGATTCATGTTAGCCGACCCCAATTTCGTTTGGGACTAAGGCTTGGATGTTGTTGTATGGGTCTATGTTTTATTCCGTTTACCCGGACCCGGACCCGTTAATATTTTTAATAAATGGGTCGGGGTATGGTACATATGATTCCGACCC